GGGAGTATGAACAAAAGATGATGGGATTTGCAATACCTTCAACTGATTCAGATCTGACTTCCACATACCACTGAGACCCCCACGAATTATAGACCTGGACCAAACTTGGAACAGAGAACCCCCATGACCAACGGAAAATATAGGAGGGGGTTGGGAGGAATTGACAGTGATTTAGGGGAGATGTAGTTTACCTACATCCAGAGAGCAAACACAAATAACTATGGACCTGGACCAAACTTGGCAGGAATACTCATATATGCCCAAATTTGAACACTAGGGGAGTCTGGGAAAAATATACCCTGACATTTGGGAGTTCCCCTCCAGCGTCGTCTTCGTCTTCTCCGTTTAGAATTCCCAAACGGAGAGGACGAGGAAGAAGAGGCCAGAGGGGAGGGAGGAAGGCAGGCTTCCCTGCAGCTGCCGCCCCGCGTTCCTCTTGCTGCTCTTCCAGGCTTCCACTAGAAGTGGAGGCCTTGAAGGGTAGTGCGAGGAGCATGGGGCAGGGAAGCAGCAGAAAGGCCTTTTCTCCTCTCCATTCTCTTTTGGCGATTCCTCCAAATGGAGGTACAGGCCTTGCTGTGGGGGCGTGGCCTCCTCTCCTTCCTCCTCCTCGCTGCCAGATTCGCCTCCCCACCAGGCCTGGGCCTTCCTGCGTTGCCCCCGGGGGCCCGGCAGCCAATGCAAGGTGGCGGAGGGGGCGGGGCCAAAGGAGGTGGCGTCGTGACCCCTCGGAAATGGCCAATCAACCCCTCTGGGCGTCACGACCCCCAGGTTGAGAACCGCTGCTCTAGGACTTTAAAATTGTCTGGAGAGGCACTGCTCTCAATCCCGCCTTTGTCACAAGCATGGTTGGCAGGGACGAGAGACAGTGCCTTCTCAGTGGTGGCCCCTCAGCTGTGGAACGCCCTCCCTAGGGACATTAGATTGGCCCCCTCCCTTTTAACATTTCGGAAGAAAGTTAAGACTTGGCTTTTCGAGGAAGCGTTTGCAAACACAGCGTAACGGACATAGGAAAATGGACTTACTGGATGAAAGGGATTGGACAGTGTTTTAATATGGAGAGTCTAATGACTTGAGTTTTTATTGATTTTATTGCGATTTTATATTTTCTTAAAGCCTGACTGCTCATTGGAGGGAAGGATATTAGAAGCAAAGATGAAGTACTTTGGCCACATAATGAGAAGARAGGAAAGCTTAGAGAAGGCAATGATGCTGGGGAAAATGGAAGGAAAAAGGAAGAGGGGGCGATCAAGGGCAAGATGGATGGATGGTATCCTTGAAGTGACTGGCTTGACCTTGAAGGAGCTGGGYGTGGTGACAGCCGACAAGGAGCTCTGGCGTGGACTGGTCCATGAGGTCACGAAGAGTTGGAAGCGACTGAACGAATAAARAACAACAACATGGGTGCATCTATACTGTAGAATGAATGCAGTTTGACACTACTTTAACTCCAATGCTATTGGAYTTGTAATGTGTGTGTGTGTGTGTGTGTGGGGGGGGGGATATTCTTTAACAAAAATCAATTCTGGAACTATTTTTGAAAACAAACCAAAATCTTTACCACAATGAGTTCAATGGGAATCGGTGCTGGGAGCTTGGCTTTGTAGCGTTCATTCAATTCTTTGACCACAAATACGATGACCAGGATGATAAGTGATGTGACGAGATCGGCAACGTTTGTTTTGGTTATTTGACTAAATACATCTCTTAGGATCTGTTACAGAATGGAAAGAGAAACAGAATGTTACAATGGATAACAATAATATACATAGCATTCAGATATCTCGTTTTAAATCTATGGAATATAAAATAGATTTAGCAACATAAGGACCGGATCCAACATTACGTAGTGGCCAGAATGCAAGACAAGGAATAAGACCCCATCTACATTGCCATATAAAATCCGGATTATCTGATTTGAGCTGGATTATATGGCAGTGTACGGAGCTCCCGGTGGCACAGTGGGTTAAAGCGCTGATCTGCTGAGCTTGTTGACTGAAAGGTCGCAGGTTCGATTCCGGGGAGCGGCGTGAGCTTCCACTGTTAGCCCCAGCTTCTGCCAACCTAGCAGTTCGAAAACATGCAAATGTGAGTAGATCAATAGGTACCACTCCGGCAGGAAGGTAACAGCGTTCCATGTAGTCATGCTGGCCACATGACCTTGGAGATGTCTACGAACAACGCTGGCTCTTCGGTTTAGAAATGGATATGAGCACCACACCCCAGAGTCAGACACGACTGGACTTAATGTCAGGGGACAACTTTTACCTTACTATATGGCAGTGTAGACTCATATAATCCAGTTCAAAGCAGATAATCTGGATTATATGGCAGTATAGAAGGGAACTAAGGAAGCTTGGATTCAAATCCTGAATCAGCCATGACACTTAGGATGGAGTCCCTTCATGTGCGTATAATCACACATGAGTTTGAGATACTTACCCATATAATTCCCAATGGAGTGTTATGACCTGGAACTGACAGTTGAAACATGAATTTCAGCTGAGACATTACTACGTGGATAGCTGCAGCTGTTGTGAATCCACTTATTAATGATTGAGATAAATACATAACTATGAAACCAATCCGCAGGACACCCAACAGCAGCTGGAATATAAACAGACACATTGTGTTTATACAGACACACACAAATACATATTTAATACAAAAATCATAGTAACACCAAAAGGAAAGTCATCACAAAGTCATCACTAAGCAGGTTGGTTAGCCCTAATAATAATACTTGACATTCACATACTGTTCTTTTATGTGCTGAAAGCACTTTACATACTAGTTCTGAGGTTATCTCATGTCCACTGGAGTATGTTGCCCAAATGCATAGAGCTAACAAATGCTTGTGCCATTGCCACTGGGCATATGCCAAGACTGGCATATGTCAGTAAGGCAGGCCAGTTTTTTTTGTCCCATAAAAATAGTGATGAGATGGGGTGGCTCTACACTTATCTCTTATCTTGTCGCTGATCTGGCATGGCATGCACCAGATCAGTTCTAGACTTTCCTAGGCAGGGTGTCTAAATGCCATCCTGATAACTACTGGATGGCACCCAGCCACCCAGAAGCCCCGCAAAACTATCCTTGAAAAATAAAAAAAACTTACCTGTCCACCAGTAGGGTACTCCTTGTGTCCTCCTGGCATGTAGAAATGACATGCCAGGAGATCTGGGGGTGGGAGAAGGGAAGATCGCTCCTCACCCTTGATCTATTGGCGGGTTATTTCTACGCACCAGAAGGATTCAAGGAGTATCTTAATGGCGGACGGGTATGTTATTTAAAATGTTAAGGCTTGTTTTGAGGTTTGGGAGGAGAGGGTGGGTGCACTATCAGCTTTCCGGGCTCGTGTGGATTGGGTCCAGGAATCATGTGATGCAGTCCCTGGGCGCAATCCACACAGGGCCCACATTCTGGATCTACACTGCCCAAATCCCAAGATCTGATACCAGATTATCCTCTTATCCAAGATTATCATAGAATCCTAGAGTTGGAAGAGACCTCATGGGCCTTCCATTCCAATCCCCTTGCCAAGAAGCAGGAAAATTGCATTCAAAGCAGCCCCCGACAGATGGCCATCCAGCCTCTGTTTAAAAGCATCCAAAGAAGGAACCTCCACCACACTCCGGGGCAGAGAGTTCCACTGCTGAACGGCTCTAACAGTCAGGAAGTTCTTCCTCATGTTCACATGGAATCTCTTTTCTTGTAGTTTGAAGCCATTGTTCCACCTCCTAGTCTCCAGGGAAGCAGAAAACAAGCTTGCTCCCTCCTCCCTATGACTTCCTCTCGCATATTTTTACATGGCCATCATGTCTCCTCTCGGCCTTCTCTTCTACAGGCTAAACATGCCCAGCTCTTTAAGCCGCTCCTCATGGGGCTTGTTCTCCAGACCCTGGGAAACCCTGCTTTCTACCAAATTAATTTGGTTTTACATTTGGTAAAACCGAGATAGATCTCGGGTTAAAGGCCTATCTGGGTGGGCTCTCAGTTTTACAGCCTCTTGATTTGTCCTACTCTTTTTTCCATACAGAGAATCCACACTGATAGCTTTGTTATTTTGTTGAGATGAATATTATCGCTGTGTTCCATATTAGAGGCTTTGCCAATGTCAAACATGGAGATGAAGTCAATTTGAACACTAGGTTCTTGTGGGTTTTTTCGGCTATAGGGCCATGTTCTAGAGGCATTTCTCCTGACGTTTCACCTGGATCTATGGCAAGCATCCTCAGAGGTACCTGAGGTACCTGATGCAGGCGAAACGTCAGGAGAAATGCCTCTAGAACATGGCCCTATAGCCTGAAAAACCCCACAAGAACCTAGTGATTCCAGCCATGAAAGCCTTCGACAATACATCAATTTGAACAATTTGCTTTTCAGGCCCTTCTGTACAATATCCTTGCTTTTTTGCTTTTAGAATATCATGAGAAATGTTGTGGAGTGACTTCATGGTTGATGAATAGGTACATCAAGAATAGAAGTTGTAGTTTGAAATTCTAGAGAGCTATATCTCCCCCACCTTTTATTCAGTATATTGTTCTGGAAATAAATACCCACCTGAATGATGCCAGCAAGCACAGTCACAGATACCGCTACCATTACTCTTTTCTGAGTAGCCAATGAATCATTTTGAGTGGCATTGTTTTCGACTATCCCGTTTTCAGGTGTCTCTGCATCTGGGACGATTCTTAAAACTGCTGCTCCTACCATTAAGCTCAGGACAGGGAAAGGACCTGTGTGGTTTAAGTGTCACAAGAGGGAATATTAGTCTTTGTTTGTAGCTTAGAAGATTCTGTCAATGGAAGAGATGTATAATATGGATGCTTAAGCCTGAAAAGGCAAATAGGTTAATGACAAATTTCACCCCTAATGGATTTCTCACCAAAAGTTCCTTCAAATTCATGCATTTTTTTTGTCCTGACAGTGATTTACCTTAACCCTAATATTGCCAATGGTCATCTATATATGTGTATATTTGTGCTATCGAGTATAAACCTAGTTTTTCAGCCCTTTTTTTAGGCTGAAAAAGTCCCCCTCGGCCTATATTCGAGTCAAGGTTATTTATTATTTTACTACTACTACTACTACTATTATTATTACTATTATTTTCATTTCATTTATTATTTTATTCTATTTATTATTATTACATTTATCATTTTACTCTATTATTATACATTATAAGAAATAGTTTTCTTAGATCTACAGAGACACTCACTGGAACACCTCCGCAAGCGAGAGTCCAAAAGTGGCAGGTTCAAACCCAGCACCTCAATCCGTGGGTGATACCAGATGAGAGACTCCACCCTGGGCACACAGAAGACTGGGCGACTTGGAAGGCTACGCTCTGGCACCACGAGATGCAGAGCCAATCTTAAGAAATGGGGCTACAAAGTGGAATCCACGACATGCGAGTGTGGAGAAGAGCAAACTACAGACCACTTGCTGCAATGTAACCTGAGCCCTGCCACATGCACAATGGGGGACCTCCTTGCAGCAACATCAGAGGCATTCCAAGTGGCCAGATACTACTCAAAGGACATGTAATCAGCTACCAAGTTTGCAAAATTTGTGTTTTTTTATCTGTTTTGTTCTGTTAGAAATGTAATACAATGGTCTGGTTGCGGATGACACGATAAATATATATATAGCATGAAATTATTTAGATACTTGGAGGAAATATTATAGCCCAAGTTTACAACAGTATATCACTCAACTTACCAACTGAAATATGTCTGGAAGTGCCAAAGAAAAAATAGATAATCACTGGGAAAAAGGCTGCATACAGTCCATAGCCTGGAGGTATATTTACTAGCAAAGCAAAGGCAAGACCTGAAATGACAGAGAAGAATGTATTATTATTTATTTATTTAGAACATTTGTATCCCTTCCTATTCCAGACTTCCGAAGAGGGACTCAGGGCAGCTTTCAACAATATAAAAACACCAATAAAATACACAAATACATAAAATGATAATAAATATACATTTAAAAACAGTTCGCCAAGTTTAAAATGTGCTCCAAATCAGTCCAAAAAATGCAGTCCGTACAATTTCATCTAAGGCAATAAAAATAACCTATTCTGCGAATGCTTGCTCCCACAGCCAAGTCTTAAGTGTCTTGAGAAAAGTTAAGAGGGAGGGGGCACATCTAACTTCTTTAGGGAGGGAGTTCTACAGCCCAGGGGCCACCACGGAGAAGGCCCTGTCTCTCATCCCCACCAAACGCAACTGTGATGGTGGCAGGACTGAGAGCAGGGCCTCTCCAGATGATCTTAAAGTCCTTGATGGTTCATAGGGATGGTTCATAGGGAGGTGTCCCTCTCTATGAAGTGGGCCAGAGCCGTTTACGGCTTTATAGGTCAAAACCAGCACTTTGAATTGTGCTCGGAAGCTAATAGGCAGCCAGTGGAGCTGGTGTAACAAGGGCGTTGTGCGCTCCCTGTATCCCGCTCCTGAAAGTAACCTGGCTGCCGAGCGTTGGACTAGCTGAAGCTTCTGACCAGTCTTCAAAAGCAACCCCACATAGAGCACATTGCAGTAGTCTATTCGGGATGTAACAAGAGCGTGGACCACCGAGTATACACGAGACAGCACAGGGATCTCTATAGAGATCAAAGCTTTACTAGTCAAACAAACAAACAAATAGGTTACCTTGTAAGACAGCAACTAGTCCCGTGCTAATTCCTGAGACAATGTCACTAAGGATCCAATCCTTAACACGATATGCAGGGAGCCAGGATATGATGGGAAACAAATTTAGAGCAATTTTCTTTGCCTTCTGTGGAGTGCAGCTGAAAAGACATCAGTTCATGCAATACTTTAAATGCTCATGTTTTTGTGGGATCCAGCAAAGAACAACACAATAGAAATATGTCTAATTCAGTTTATATTCTGCTGGTATGATTAGTAATAAAAGGGACCCATTTTCTCCCTTCATGGTAATTTATTTGTAACATCTTCCCCCCGCCTCAATCATTTCAAAAGTATTCCCATTTTAGCATTTGGGAAGTAGATTACTTAGCTACACAAGTCACTTCTGTCAAACCTTCCAGACTGTTGGGATATGTACTGTTTCAGATCCACATAGTAGCAATAGTAGTAGTAGTAGTAGTGATGATGATGATGATGATGATGATGGTGATAATAATAATAATAATAATAATAATAATAATTATTATTATTATTATTATTTCTGGGTTGTTGTAGGTTTTTCCGGGCTATATGGCCATGTTCTAGAGGCATTTTCTCCTGACGTTTCACTTGCATCTATAGCAAGCATCCTCAGAGGTAGTGAGGTGTTCTAGAGGCATTTTCTCCTGACATTTCGCCTGCATCTATGGCAAGCATCCTCAGAGGTAGTGAGGCCATATAGCCCGAAAAAACCTACAACAACCCAGTGATTCCGGCCATGAAAGCCTTCGACAATACAATAATAATTTCATTTCTTACTCATCTCTCCTCGTGGCTCAAAGCAGTTTAAAGAATAATTAAAATATATGAACATTGTAAAAAAAAAAACCCACAAATACACATATTAAAATGTATTTCTATAAAATATACATATTAAAACATATTTCTATAAAATATACATATTAAAACATATTTCTATAAAATACATATTAAAACACACCAAACAATGATTAAACAAAGGACACAAGTTTAAAATTCATGCTTAAAAACTGGCTGGATAGGCCTGCCAGAAGAAATAGGTCTTTAGAAGGACTCACTGCCCTGAGACCCTTCAGGGAGATAGGACGGTATATAAATAAAGTTATTATTATTATTATTATTATTATTATTATTATTATTATTATTATTATTTTAAAATTCTGACAGCTCATTTAGTTGTTGGAGTTCTTCCGGCAGGTCATTCCACAGTTTTGGGGCGGCCGATGAAATGGTAATTGTCAATTGGGTTCTGGCTGGTTGGAGTAGCTGCCCCCCGAGGATCTAAGTGTTCAGGATGGATTGTATGGGAGAAGGTGATCCTTTAGGTAACCTGGACCCAAACCATGTAGGGCTTTAAAGGTCAAAACCAACACTTTTTGAACCAGTTGGAGTTTCCAAATTTGGTACAAAGGTAGTACAATGTAAAGCACACTGCAGTGCCTGCACTACCATATTCAGGTCCTCCAAATCTAAGGGCACAGCTGGAGTATCAGCCAAAGCACTCCTGACTACTGTATCTACTTGGGATGTCATTTGGAGAGAGAGATCCAGGAGTACTCCGAAGCTGCAAACACAGCCTTTCAGGGGGAATGTAACCCCATGGTATCGAAGGCTGTTGAGAAGTCTAGAAGCACCAACAGGGACACACTTCTCCTATCAGTGTTGAGGCAGAGATCATCCACTAAGGCGACCATGGCAGTCTCAACTCCGTATCCTGCTCTGAAGCCACTTTGAAATGGATCAAGGAAGTGTGTCTCATCCAAGACTGTCTGGAGTTGGAGGGCAACAGCCTTCTCAATCATTTTGCCCAAAAAAGGAAGGTTAGAGTTAGGGACCTCGTCTGTAATTACGAGGTCCAGGGATCCAGGGAGGGCTTTTTCAGCAGCAGTCTAACTACAGTTTCTAAACAGGATTGAAAGTTTCCCTCTCTGAGAGATGGTTAATAATTTGTTGTATTTGAGATCAAATTGCATAGTTTGATATGACCACCACATAGGAAGGTATGTCCCTATTTCCTGAAGATCAGGAAATGTACTCATACGCAGGCCCGTAGCCAGGATTTTGTTTCGGGGGAGCTGAGTTTTGGCGGTGACCAGGGGAGCATTTGCACAGTTAAAACTTGTGCGCCAGCTGTGCCCGTACCTTGGGAAGTCTGACTTGGCCATGGTAGTCCACGCTCTGGTTACATCCCGTTTAGACTACTGCAACGCTCTCTACATGGGGTTGCCTTTGAAGACAGCTCGGAAGCTCCAACTAGTCCAACGCTCGGCAGCCATGATTTTAACAGGAGCAGAGCGCAGGGAGCATACAACCCCCCTGTTGCGCCAACTCCACTGGCTACCGATCTGCTACCGGGCTCAATTCAAAGTGCTGGCGTTGGCCTTTAAAGCCCTAAACGGTTCCGGCCCAAGCTACCTATCCGACCGCATCTCTGCCTATGAACCCACCAGGACTTTGAGATCTTCCGGGGAGGCCCTGCTCTTGATCCCGCCTGCCTCACAGGCACGGCTGGCGGGGACGAGATAGGGCCTTCTCGGTGGTGGCTCCCCGGCTGTGGAATGCCCTTCCCACGGACATTAGATTAGCACCATCTCTAATGGCATTCTGCAAAAAAGTAAAGACCTGGTTGTTTGTGCAGGCGTTTGAATAATTAGTGCAATGACTGGCAATGACATAGGAATGGAACAATGGATGACGAATCTGGATCATTTTTTTTAGTGAAGAGACGCTATTGAATGGTTATTATAGTAATTGTATACTAACTGTGTATTAGATTGGTTATTAACTGTTTTATATTGGTGTATTAAATTTTGCTGTGTCTTGTGTCCTGTGAACCGCTGTGAGTCGCCTCCGGGCTGAGAACAGCGGTATAGAAGTAAAGTAAAGTAAATAAATAAATAAATAAATAAATTTGATTGGGGGGAGCTGAGTCTGAGTGAAAGAGGGTCTACCCTAGCAAACCTTTTGTATCGTTACCCCAATACCCCCATGCATATGGGATATATTGAGTATAGTGATCAGATCATGATATGAATAAACATAACAGTTTAAATAATGCACCAGTAAGGCCTTCTCGTGGACCACCATGAGAATTTGGGGGGGGGGGGGGGCTGAAGCCCACCCCCCCCCCCCCCAGCTACATGCCTGCTTATACATCAACATGCCATTCTAGAATATGGAAAGCTCACTGGGAATATTTTTTTTTAATTCTTTACTAAAGATTATATAATAAACTTTATTAATATGGTTAAAACTTGAGACCATCCCCACTTCAGAATTTGTTATGGCATCAAGGCTCTCTGACAGAGAAATGTAAATATCCCACAAAACCACAAATCCCAGAATTCCATAGCATTGAGTCATGGCAGTTAATGTGGTGTCGAACTGCTATAATTCTGCCACGTGGACACAGCCCATGTCACATAACTATTTGTTTCTAATACTAATGTTTACGAAAGAAGAGCTCTTACCTAAAACATACTCGGAGATGATCCATGAAAGTTTTGTGATATCTGTGCACTTTCTCATGTTCTTCATCAAATAAGATGTCTTGATACACTGGCCGCGCCACAACATACTGGCTGCCAACTGGTTCAGCCATGTCTCCAGAAAATTCTTCCCGTCCACGTTTTGATTCTGCCTTATTATAATGTCACCTGAAACTCTGAAAATAAATGGCAATGTGTGCTTTTAAGATATCTTGGACTCCACAGATGAGTAAACTCCAAGTTGAGCATTACCACCTTTGAAGATCAAACAAAACCGGATTATGACATTGAAATCTGGTTTTTACAACAACATTCCTCCTCCCTTTTCACACTCCAAACAGCTGTAAACCATAAGTGACTGGCTGTTTATCTCTGAGTCACTAGTTAAAGATAAAAAAGATGAAGCATTTTTCAAATCCAGTCATCATGGTGAGAAAAATGATCATTGCTGTTTTCTGGGAAAGGACGAATGCTTAGTTAGTTTTGGATAGCTATGTCGCTGTTAATGATGGACCTGGCCAAACCCTGAAATGTTATCCTCTTTATGTTTCTGACAATTCAGTAATCCAAGTCCAGGCTTTTGATTTAGATCTATAGAGATTTACAATACTACCAATGAAAGGTCGTTTCCTTTCAGAGGTTTTTGGAAATGGAACCTTCCGAAATATGGGGAAATCCTCAAATATGGTGAATTAACTCATTTGTTAAAACAGACCCATGTCTGATTCCACAGCAAGCTGGCTTCAGGAAAGGCAAAAGCTGCACATCGCAAGTGCTGAACCTGACTCAGCACATAGAAGATGGCTTTGAAAGGCAGCAGATCACAGGAGCTGTCTTCATAGACCTGTCAGCAGCTTATGATACTGTGAACCACCACCTCCTCCTGAGAAAAATGTATAATATCACAAAGGACTACCACCTCACCCGCCTCATAGGAAACCTGCTACAAAACAGGAGCTTTTTTGTTGAGTTCCAGGGCCAGAGAAGCAGATGGCGGAAACAGAAGAACAGCCTGCCTCAGGGGAGCGTGCTTGCTCCATCCATGTTCAACATCTACACAAATGGCCAGCCACTGCCAGAAGGGACAGAGAGTTTCATCTATGCTGATGATCGTGCCATCTACCGCTCAAGCAGGGAGCTTTGAGATGGTTGAACAGAAGCTCTCCGAAGCTCTAGGTGCTCTTACTGCCTATTACAGGGAAAACCAACTGATCCATAATCCATCTAAAACACAGACATGTGCCTTTCACCTTAAGAACAGACAAGCATCCCGAGCTCTGAGGATTACCTGGGAAGGAATCCCACTGGAGCATTGCAGCACACCCAAATACCTGGGAGTCACTCTGGACCGTGCTCTGACCTACAAGAAGCACTGCCTGAACATCAAGCAAAAAGTGGGTGCTAGAAACAATATCATACGAAAGCTGACTGGCACAACCTGGGGATCACAAACAGATACAGTCTAGAATCATAGAATCAAAGAGTTGGAAGAGACCTCATGGGCCATCCAGTCCAACCCCCTGCCAAGAAGCAGGAATACTGCATTCAAATCACCCCTGACAGATGGCCATCCAGCCTCTGTTTAAAAGCTTCCAAAGAAGGAGCCTCCACCACACTCCGGGGCAGAGAGTTCCACTGCTGAACGGCTCTCACAGTCAGGAAGTTCTTCCTCATGTTCAGATGGAATCTCCTTTCTTGTAGTTTGAAGCCATTGTTCTGCGTCCTAGTCTCCAAGGAAGCAGAAAACAAGCTTGCTCCCTCCTCCCTGTGGCTTCCTCTCACATATTTATACATGGCTATCATATCTCCTCTCAGCCTTCTCTTCTTCAGGCTAAACATGCCCAGCTCCTTAAGCCGCTCCTCATAGGTTCTCCAGACCCTTGATCATTTTAGTCGCCCTCCTCTGGACACATTCCAGCTTGTCAATATCTCTCTTGAATCGTGGTGCCCAGAAAAGTCACCCTCCTCTGGACACATTCCAGCTTGTAATATCTCTCTTGAATTGTGGTGCCCAGAATTGGACACAATATTCCAGGTGTGGTCTAACCAAAGCAGAATAGAGGGGTAGCATTACTTCCCTAGATCTAGAAACTATGCTCCTTATTGATGCAGGCCAAAATCCCATTGGCTTTTTTTGCTGGCACATCACATTGTTGGCTCATGTTTAACTTGTTGTCCACGAGGACTCCAAGATCTTTTTCACACGTACTGCTCTCGAGCCAGGCCTCCCCCATTCTGTATCTTTGCATTTCATTTTTCCTGCCAAAGTGGAGTATCTTGCATTTGTCACTGTTGAACTTCATTTTGTTAGTTTTGGCCCATCTCTCTAATCTGTCAAGATCGTTTTGAATTCTGCTCCTGTCCTCTGGAGTATTAGCTATCCTCCCAATTTGGTGTCGTCTGCAAACTTGATGATCATGCCTTCTAGCCCTTCATCTAAGTCATTAATAAAGATGTTGAACAGGACCGGGCCCAGGACGGAACCCTGCGGCACTCCACTTGTCACTTCTTGCCAAGATGAAGAGGAAGCATTAGTGAGCACTCTCTGTGTTCGTCCACTTAACCAATTACAGATCCACCTCACCGTAGTTTTGCCTAGCCCACATTGGACTAGTTTCCTTGCCAGAAGGTCATGGGGGACCTTGTCGAAGGCCTTACTGAAATTCAGGTACGCTACATCCACGGCATTCCCCGCATCTACCCAGCTTGTAGCTCTATCGAAGAAAGAGATCAGATTAGTCTGGCATGACTTGTTTTTGATAAATCCATGTTGACTATTAGCGATTACTGCATTTGTTTCTAAGTGTTTGCAGACCGCTTCCTTAACAATCTTTTCCAGAATCTTGCCCGGTATCGACGTGAGGCTGACCGGACGGTAGTTGTTTGGGTCATCCTTTTTTCCCTTCTTGAAGATTGGGACCACATTGGCCCTCCTCCAATCTGCTGGAACTTCTCCCGTTCTCCAAGAACTCTCAAAGATGGTTGCCAATGGTTCCGAAATGACTTCCGCTAGTTCCTTCAATACTCTGGGATGTAGTTGATCTGGCCCTGGGGACTTGAACTCATTAAGAGCGGCCAGGTATTCCTGGACGACTTCTTTCCCAATTTGGGGTTGGATGTCCTCCAATCCCTCATCCACTCCATCTTGCTGAGGTTGAAGACTCTCTTTTTGTGAGAAGACCGAGGCAAAGAAGGCATTAAGTAGTTCTGCCTTTTCCCTATCCCCTGTCAGCATTGCCCCATCTTCTCCTCGAAGAGGCCCTATCGCCTCCTTGTTTTTCCTTTTTCTACTGACATAAGAATAGAAGCCCTTTTTATTGTTTTTAATGTCCCTGGCAAGTCTGAGCTCGTTTTTTGCTTTAGCCTTGCGGACCTTTTCCCTACAGGTGTTGGCTTTTTGTTTGAATTCTTCTTTGGTGATTTCTCCCTTTTTCCACTTCTTGTGCATGTCTCTTTTGTGTCTTAGACATCTGCCCTTGCACTATGCTACATGCTGCTGAGTATGCATGCCTAGTGTGGAACACATCTCACCACACTAAAACAGTGGATGTGGCTCTTAATGAGACATGCTGCATTATTACGGGGTGTCTGCGCCCTACACCACTGGAGAAATTACACTGCTTAGCCGGTATTGCACCACCTGACATCCGCCGGGAAGTAGCAGCCAATAGTGAAAGGACCAAGGCAGAGACATCTCCAGCTCATCCCTTGTTTGGGTATCAGCCAGCACCTCAATGACTTAAATCAAGAAATAGTTTTCTTAGATCTACAGAGACACTCGCTGGAACACCCCAGCAAGCGAGAGTCCAAAAGTGGCAGGCCCAAACCCAGCACCTCAATCCATGGGTGATACCAAATGAGAGACTCCCCCCTGGGCACACAGAAGACTGGGCGACTTGGAAGGCGCTGAACAGACTGCGCTCTGGCACCACGAGATGCAGAGCCAATCTTAAGAAATGGGGCTACAAAGTGGAATCCACGACATGCGAGGGTGGAGAAGAGCAAACCACTGACCACCTGCTGCAATGCAACCTGAGCCCTGCCACATGCACAATGGAGGACCTTCTTGCGGCAACACCAGAGGCACTCCAAGTGGCCAGATACTGGTCAAAGGACATTTAATCAGCTACCAAGTTTGCAAAATTTGTGTTATTTGTTTGTTTGTTTTGTTCTGTTAGAAATGTAATACAATTTTCTGGTTGCGGATGACATGATAAATAAATAAATAAAATACCAGACAATTTTAGGTGTTCTGTTATTTCTGTTTTGTTATGTTATTCTCATTCCAAAGTTCCTTCTACACTGCCATATATATGGATTATATGGCAAGGTAGACTCATGTAATCCATTTCAAAGCAGATAATGTGGATTATCTGCTTTGATAATCTGGATTATATGGCAGTGTAGATCCAAAAGTGTTCAGAGTTTTTGTGTGTGGTTCTTTGGCCGCTGTAGAAAGCATTCTGTTTGCTTAATTTTAGCAATTTCTCTCTTTCCTATTCATAATTTTAAGGAAATATATTTTGCCTTCTGATAGCATACAGCTAGATAGGGAGATATACATTTTGTCATTGTTGGTGTCTTCTAGTCACTTTTGACTCAGGCACTTTCTAAGTGGCCATATAAAATCCAGATAATAATAATAATAATAATAATAATAATAATAATAATACTTTATTTATACCCTGCTCCATCTCCCCCAGGGGGACTATGTGCGGCTTACATGAGGCCATGCCCATCAGTACAGTACACACAATATAACACAAAAACATAACAAAACCAAAAAAAATAAAATACATAAAATGCAAAACCAATATAATAAGCGACACAACAATATAAAATCAAACATTAAAACACAAAATATTTCACTGGGCAGGGGCAAATTCAAGGATAAAAAATTTAAAAACATTGGGAGATAGGACAATGTAAATTATCTGCTTTGAACTGGATTATATGGCAGTGTAGACTCATATAATCCAGTTCAAAGCATATAATGTGAATTATCTGATTTGATAATTTGGATGATATGGCAGAATAGAAGTGGCCTCATAGTAATCCTATCACAGGCTTTTCTTGCCCAGATTTATTCAGTTGTGGTTTGCGTTTGCCTTTC